CCGCTAGTGGAGAAGACAGAGTAGCAGGGAACAAACCTGACGGAGGCGACTTCACTGGGAGCTCAGGGCAGACAGGGTCAGAAGCCATGACAGTTTGAACTAAAGTCAGAGCTTCATCGCTCTCTACTGATGGAGATACTGGAGCTCCCTTCTCTGACAGGTTTACACCTCATACAGGTTCTGGCTTTTGCAGATTTTACTGTATAAGTAAATAACTAGGAATATAAAAAATGGAGCCCTGGTGGCGCAGTGGTTAAGAGCTTGGCTGCTAACAAAAAGGTCAGCAGTTCGAATCCACCAGCTGCTCCTTGGAAACCCTATGGGGCAGTTCTACTCTGTCCTATATGGTCACTATGAGGTGGAACTGACTCGACAGCAACAGCTGTTTTTTCTTGGATCCAATCTGAATCCACCAGCTACTCGCTGCATTACACGGAGCAAGTTACTCAACCTCTGTGTCCTGATTTTCTCGTCTTTAAACACCCACTTCATGGGGTCATTTAAAGGAGTAAATGAGTTAATACATTTAAAGTACTGCAAAGAATGGCTAGAACATATTAGAAGAATTCAATAAATGTTAGTTACATACAGAGAAGTTACTCTTTATGATTTCTTATATTAAGACTTAAAAAAGCAAACTAAAATGTGTCTAAAAATTAATAGCTAAAAATAGTACAGCCACAAAAAGACTATTAGCTGCCAAAAAAAAACGGTATTTTAGAAAATCTGGTGGCATTAAAGTGGTAAGAATACATCTGTGGCTCTCTTCTGGAGTACTTTTCTTTGAGACTGTGTCTGTTTTGTTCATCCCTGTTCACACCTACCACGTAAAGAGGGCTAAATCAATGCTAACTCATTGCCCAAGAGAAAAAAATCAGACTAAAAATCTTAGTTCCAATTATCAGTGTGTTCTCTTATAAAGCAAAGATTAAAAGAGTGAAAGAACATATTAACAATAATCATCTCTGGAAGAAAAGACTGTTGATGATTTTAACTTTGTGCTTTGTACTATTCTGTAGTTTCCAAATACTTTTATAGAGTCTAATTCCTTTTACAACCATAAAAAATGTCTATAAATCCCATTTTTAAAAAGTGCTTCCCACTGACCTACATTTAGACCTTTCCCCAAATCTTTAGCACAAAATCTACAGCTGTTCCCTCCAGAGCTCGGTGCAATGACCCACACCAAGAGGACACGAAGATGCTCCCTTCACTGCAAAGGAATTCACGGCAGTCGTAACCACAACAAAAGAGGTCTTCTTAGGATAGAAGAATGCTTGGGGAAAGTATCATACGCTACAAAAGAGTTCTGGAGTAGAAAAGAATGGAGACATGGAAAATAACATGAGTCGAATGAACAAATGAACGTGAAAAGCTGCAGCATTCACCCCGATAAGAGTGGTCTGTGGGAAGAGACAGTGACCACAACCTGCACTGGACCACAAAGAATGTAGTCGATTTCTAGAGGTGCTAGTTAGAAAATTCCACCAGAACAGAATACTTCATAAAGGAACTTTTTACAGAAGAACTTAGGTCAATTTAGCTATTACTCAGCTTCACAAAATCACTATCAAATGACTGTTTATTATTCAGGGACTTTTCAGACACAGACATTTAGTAAGCACAGAAAAAAATCACGTAACTTCCTACCTGGTCTCTCTGCATTCTTTGTCCTCCACCCCCAAAAACCACAGACAGAGTTAGTGTTTACAAAGAATGCTGATCACAACCCTGCCAGGCTTAAAAGCCACTGATGATTCCAACTACTCCTGGAGAGAAGTCTAAAATCCATCAAGAGGCCTCCAAAAGGCTGATCCAGCCTGCTCCTCCAAGCTCAGAGCATTCCACTCTCCTCCTTCCTCACCAGCTTCAGTCACAGCAAACCACACCCACCTTTGGGCTTTTTCCCCCTTCTGTCTGCCTGGTTAACTCCCATCCATCTCTTCAGTGCCCAGGTGAACTGACTTCTTTCACAGAAGTCTTTCCTGATGAAGATTAGGTTATCTTCCCCTGAAACATGCCAACTGCACCCCGTGTAATTTCCTTCATAGCTTTTCCACAACTGCAGTGTTATAGGTATTTATATAATTTTTAATTGTCTCCCTCACCACATTATAAGTTCCAGCAGGCCAGGGGTCATGACTGTCTCACTAACATCTGTCTTATACACCTGGGATGGCATCTGACATAGAGTGGGCACTGAGTAAATGAACGTATGGAATGCTCTTAATGAATGACTGCATGAGAAAGGCAGGCTGAGAAAACTGGGAGCTGTTTTAGCTCTGAACAGACTTACAAATCAGTGTAAAGAGCAACCAGTCACATATACAAGTCACACAAATATGTATATATTAATGCAGCAAATTGCATGAGAATATTTTAAGGGAGAACATGGTTTTGTTTTGAATGGTGAAGAGACAGTAATTACAAAAATCATCCGAGAAGCCCTACGAAGCCAAGAGGAAGCAGGAACAGTGACCTGAGAAATGGGAAAAGGAAATGGGTTCTATAAATCCAGCGGGTTTCATTTCTAGTTATTGCCAAGTGGCTCCTATTACACTCACTCTCCTGCAGATAAAAACTATAAACTGTGGACAAAATATAAAACCAACTACCCAGAGAGCAATCAGAAGTAGGAAGATTCTGGAGGAGCACTAACATTTGCAAGAAGGAAATGGCACAGGGTCTGTTTTGATGTTTCCATAGTCTTTAGGCCGATGGCAGACCAAGACTGTGTTATGTGGAAGAGCTAAAAACCCCAAAAGAAAGCCCAGAGAGCTTGGTCCAACCAGAGGTGCTGCTAAGTTGAGGGAGAAATCCAGGACATAAGACAGAGAGGGAAAACACTAAATTCTGTCTCTAAACTCTGCCCCAGTCTCTGGCTGACCTCTGAACTGCATGTGCACGGGGCAGATTTCAAGCAGAATAGCTGTTTAAAACAGCTGGCCTGAGATTTGAGCTTCCATCCAAGGGATGGATACTGCATTTCTGAGTCTGACCAAGTTAAACAAACAAACAAAAACTAATACTCTCCAGAGAAACCTAAAGAATTCTGAGCGTCTATAACTCACAATGAACGACACACAATCCAAAATTACTAGAAATAAAAAGAAACAAAACGTGATCCATTTTCACAAGAAAAGACAATCAATAGATATCAACCTTCACGAAGAACCAGTGTTGAAATCAGCAGACAAGGACTTTGAAACAGTTAATTATAACGGTATTCAAAGATAAATAAAAATATGCTTGTAGTGAATGAACAAATAGAAAACCTCAGCAGAGAGACAAACTATTAAAGAGAGAGAGAGGGTGAAATAGAAATTCTAGAACTGAAAAATGCAGTAGCTCAAATTTAAAAATTACTGCACAGGGGTGACAGAAGAAAGAGGCAGGCAGTGAACCTGACAACAGAACAACAGAGAAGAAAAGGAGAGTGGGGGAGAAAATGAGCAGAGCCTTCGAGACCAGTGGGACAACATCAAAAGGTCTAACATACATGTAATTAGAGTCCCAGAAAGAGAGTAAAGCTGAAAAGTATTTGAAGAAATGATGACCAAAAATTTCTCAAATTTGGTGTCAGAAATAAATTTACAGGTTCAGGAAGTGAGTGTCCCTCAACCAGGATAAATACAAAGAAAACCGTACCTGGGCTTACCACAGTCCAGCTGCTGAAAACAGAAGTGAAGTCAACATTTAGAAAGCAGCCAGGGAAACAAGAACCTGAAAGACTGTGCACTCTTCATTAGAGACAATGACGGCCAAGTGATGGTGGAATGATCACCTTAAAGCACTGGAGACGGCCAAGTGATGGTGGAATGATCACCTTAAAGCACTGGAGACGGCCAAGTGATGGTGGAAGGGTCGCCTTAAAGCACTGAGGGAAAAAACCTGTCAACTCAGAATTCAGAATCATCTCAGTTTCTGTTTGGAGGCCAGCAGTTATTCTGGCATTCCAGCCTTCCCTCACGAACTACCTTGATGAATCTTTAAAGCTCAGTCAGAAAGTTAAAGGGGACTGACCTATTTTCAACATGGTAAACTGTGAGCAATTTTAAGAGCTGGCTCCTGAGCCAAAATAAACTTTCAAGGTGGCTCAAAAAGGAGGCTATCCCCTCGCTACATCCAAGACTTAAAAAGACACATGAGAACAAGCTACAAGAAAAACCAGAATCCAGGAGAAAAAAGTATTCTGGTGGTTCTAGAAATAAAGATCAAAGACCTTAAAAACAATGCGTCGTCTTCCTTTCTCAATTCCACAAGTAAAGGAACATAAAACATCACCGGATGAACTAAACTCTAAAAACTTTTTCATTTGTCATATGCATTATAATTTCAAGTCATCCAACACCTAGCTGGCACTTAAAAAATAAATATTCCTCAATGTCTGAGGTTAACAAAGAACATAAAAGTCATACAAAGAAAACTGATGACAACTATCAAGGACATGCCCCCCACCCCACCAAAAATATCTTGGAAAAGTAGCAAAAACAAGTCCCCGAACACATCAGAATAGCACGTTATATGTATGTGGTGCTTTACAACTGATCAGCTTCTTGAAGACCAGGAATAACACAAATGCTAGCAGAAAATGTTGGAAAGACATCGCATTCAAGGATGTGTACAGAAAGGTCTTCCTTCCTTCCTACAAGCAGGCTCGAGTTTGACAACTCCATGCTTCTTCATTTGCTCTTCTCTCTTCCTCTTCTGGAAAGCTCTTAATTCTCTCGCGGCACGGAACACCTTAAAAAAATCACTACTCTTCTGAAGCCTTTCCCTCTTCTCTGAATAGTCAGTAGCTCCCTCCTTTGTATTCCTTCAATACTACAAAAGCCAGATATTCTAAACATTGTTCTTACTATAAAAGCTGATCTACTCTGAAGATTCAAAATAATTCAGTTTCCATCTGTAGAAATGTGAATTCTAAAATTATTTTAAACTGTATCCTTTAAATACCACTTACGCCAATCTGAATTTCGCAGATTTTTACCGTCACTTACTTGGTGCATTCTTCTAAAGACTGTACAAGCATTTGCTGGAAAGAACATATTTCTTCTAGATTTCCCATTAAATATGAAGTGTTTGCTGAACTTAACCTACAGCCAAGAAAAATAACAGAAAAAATATATAAACATTTTACTTGTATTCTCTTCTGTTCCACGCCAATGCTCTATTAAGGTCTTAAGCTAATAAACAAGTTACTTGTGTCTATGGAAAACCTGTATACTGAATTCCATTCCATTATTTCACCCTCTATTCTCTGAAAATAAAAGAGAACCACCTAAGATGACTATTTTAAGTGAAAGCAATTTATCATCTAACTTACTTTTCACTGGTCTGTAATGGCCGTAGATAAGCTGAAAGCACAGTCTGCAGTTCTTTAGAATACTCATTTTCTGTTTCTAAGATATTCTGTAGCACCTACAGTAAATAATGAAAAAGTGTTATTTGACATTTCCAGGATATCAAGTACATTACAATTTATAAATTTTGGAAAGTTCATCATCATTGTTTCAGTCATATCACTGCTTCTATGCAAAGTTTCTGAAATCATCACTGTCTTTGATTCCCAAGCTATTAGCTACTCAATCTATATTATGAATTACTACCCGGGCCTGCAAAACTTACCTTATCTTACTGCCAACTACATTATTACATAGGCACATTTGGAAAGAGGCCAGAATTAATTCCATCACCAGAGAAGTAATGCCAGGTCTATTTTGATACAGGTCACTTTAGCTAAGGTGATTTTATTTTTTACTTTTACGTTTGAAACCATGAAGCTTGTACTACTCAGCAGTAAAAATGAAGCAACCAGTGATAACCACACAGCACAGGTGAATCTGTAAAACACTGTCGTGCAAGAAGCCATTCACAGAGAAGTACATCCTGCATAACTCTATTTATATTAAGTCCAAGAACCATCAAAACTAATCCATGACGACAGAAATCAGAAAAGAGGTTGTGAACGAAGAGCAGTGCCTATGGAGAAAGGGCCATGAAAAAAATTTCTGGGGAGATGAACATGGTCTGTGTTCCGATTTAGGTAGCAGTGACTTAGACACAGACATTATTTGTGAAGCTCAATGAAATGTACCTTAAAGCACATGCATTCTAATATTTGTAAAGGATATCTCAATTTAAAAAACATGAAGTTTATTCTTCAGATTGCATCTAAAAACCAAAAAATCCTGTCACCATCCAGTTGACTCCGACTCACGGTTACCCTACAGGACAGGGCAGAACTGCCCCAAAGGGTTTCCAAGGAGCATCTGGCAGATTCCAGCTGCCAACCTTTGGTTAGCAGTCTAGCTCTTAACCACCGCATCACCAGGACGCAGCAAATCTAAATGGTTTTCTGGAAACTACAGACCTTCATTAGATAATATCATAGTATCAAATCATCCCACATACTACACTTTTTAAAAACTGAAAGTTCTTCAATTTTTTAACAGCCCCTACTTTGTTTGAAAGGAGGCCTGGTGGCACAGTGGTTGAAGCACTCAGCTGCTGACTGAAAGGTCCGCAGTTTGAACCCACCAGCAGCTCCACAGGAGAAAGATGTGACAGTCTGCTTCTGTAAAGATTACAGCCTTGGAAACCCTATGGGGCAGTTCTACTCCGTCCCTATAGGGTCACTATGAGTCAGAATCAACTTGATGGCAGTAGATTTGGTTTTGACTTTGTCTGAAGATAACAGAAAAATTATGAATCAACCTTAGCATGTTTCTTGATACCCTATATTAGTGTAGCAAACTTAGCCAAAATCAATTAACACCTCCTAAAAACTGACAAAGAAATCTAAGTGCAAAACAGCTGAAATAAAATATGAACTTCTTTTCATCAATGACCACCAAGAACAAAGTCACGTCCCAGCGCAGGTCAAGAAGACACCTGTGGTCTCCACATGGAGCTCAGGTACGACGTATAGCTTTAGAACGATTCTAGTAGATCAAGCTACCAACTACTGACGCTTGCCATACTCTTAAGGTCCTCGGTGACATGAACATTTTGTGCTCCTCTGCTAACTTAAAGATTGGCACTTCAAACCTACCCAGCGCTACTGTGGAAGAAAAGGCCTGGCGATCTGCTGCTGTAAAGATTACAGCTAAGAAAACCCTAAGGACCAGCTCTCTGTAACACACGGGGTCAACATGAGTTGGAAATGACCCCATGGTTACTAACGACAACAATACTGTGCTCTTGGAACCATACAAGGTGCCCTGTACACACTGGCCCTAATCCTTGCAAAAACTGCACATGGCACACCCTCATTTTACAGATGAGAGACTGAAGCTTAAATAACTTCTCCACAGTCATATATCTAATAAATAGTGGAGCCAGAATGTGAACCTACATCTTTCTGACGTTCTACTACACCACACTGCTTTCTCCAGGTATCAGATGGGACTGAAGACACTACAGGACCTGGCTTAAGAAATCTCCTTCCTCACACCATGTTATTCATTCCACTCCTGTCAGACAGCAAGTATTTTTTTAATCAGAAATTCGTATTACACGTATTTTCTGAGCACCTACTACATGCAGTAAGATGTGCTATTTGTCTTCTAAAAACTAACAAACCGTCGTCAATTACTCACTCAAAAGAGATTACAGAAAAGCAAGAAAGTCATCCAGCGTGCTCAGTTTTCTCCCCACGATTTCTAGTACTCCACGAGCCATGTAACTTTAAACGTTTAGGAAAAAAGTAATCATTAAGCTAAATTTACATTTCAGCATTAATAAATGCAATATGAATTATTATTCCATTCACCACTGTTTTCTGTAAATTTGGAGGAGAGAGTACAGTCATTCAGAGAAATGCAAACCTGATTAAATAACTTACATACTGAACTATTTAAAATGGAAAAAATCAGAGGTTCTTTCACTGGTGACACTGAACTCTAGTCCAGGCCTTGAATAGATCTATTCATTTAAGAAGACTGGTAGAGCAAGCCAGAGGAGGCGGGGCCACTCAGGGAGTTCATTCTTTTGTGGGGAAATCTGGATGCTGACCCCAAGATTATAATGTCTTCCCTCTAAGAAATGCTCATTGGAACACAAATGTCAAAGGACTGGGTGGACAGAGAACATGGTGTGACACTGGCCAGTCCGTCATCGGAGAATTAGACTTTAAATAGATCTTATCCTCCAGATGTAAATGTGAAAAGTAAGCCAAGTATAATGGGGCTTTGAATCAAAAATAAAATAAAATATGTTAAATTAACATTAATGGCATTGCTGACAGTCCTGTTCAAGGCTAAATTCCCTAAATTTGGCAGCTCTCTTGTGGGAGCCTGTCCTCCTTCTTCAGAAACACACACTGAGGTACTGAGGGGCAAAGAGCCTACTTTCAAACGGTTCAGAAAATAAAATGCAACCTGTCACAGACGCGTAAGGAAAGCCCTCCAAGAATGCTGAAAGATAAAAGTATTTCATTTCTTAATTACAGATATTAGGTATCTACTTAGCAACACTGCTTAGAGCATGCTTTAAAACCTATATACCTATTTTTTTTTTTTTAAAAAAAAAAAAAAAGAGGAAAACAGTTCCTATGTGATATAAGAAGGGAAATTCTAACTGCTGGAAAACATCCCTAGTAAATATGGGGAAGAGTAAAACGAGACGGTATTTCCGCCATCGCCGCACTGAGCACACTGTACAATACACAAGCTCCCCCGTAAGAGGACCAGAAACAGTTACAAAGAACCCTCTGCCAAAAAATTAAGTTCATTAAATTAGGTTGGTTAATTTCAACTACTAGTCTTAAAGCCTTATTTTTAAATAACTGCTAAGGACAATTTCTATAATATTTCTAACCAAGCAATCCAAGTCCCATTTAGCTTTTCCACAAGACTTTGCTAACTGACTCGTGCTCACAAGGATCTACCCTGCACTTCTCTGAACTGTGTCTACCTCTGCCAGGAGGGTACATTCACTTCCTGATCTCGTCAGCATATCTGTATATTCTAATAATCACCTTTCTCCCCTTTCTTGCGTTCTGCATGCTCTGGCTGCTGCAGGACCCCATGAGACCTCAGGGACCGGCTTCCACAGCTCCATCACATGTAAGACACCAAGGGAAAGCCCGCAGTGCTCATGGAGAAGGCAGCCTCCGCCATCCACAACCCTGATGAATGGCACAGAGAGCTGAGCTCATCCAGTGCAAGCTTTCCCTGAGTCATGAGGCGTGGAAAATCAAACGTAGCCAAACAATAGTGTCACACAGGAGGGTGAAAAGAACATCAGTCAAGTCACACAGACAATTCCTAAACTGTCGACCATTAAAAGAAAACAGAACAAAAAAGGACTTCATTACCTTGCAGACAGAGAGAAACTTACTTTATTATCATCTCAGAGAAGCACTAAGCAGCTCTGATTTTATACAAATGGCTCCAGTTTTCACTGCAAATGGTGGTAGGTGTTATAATTTATTTTATATGTTACTGACAGTCCTTTAAAAATAAATAATTGTTTATTTATGAGAACAGACAGATAACATTAAGTCAGTTTTTAAAATTTGATCTAGGTAATATAAATGATTACCATCATCATAAACTAAAATCAAATTTCAATAACGTATGTCCTAGTTTATAAGCACAAAAGGAAAAACTAAAAAATGGTGTAACTATTCTAAACACTCTTTTACTCTGCCTAACCAGTCCCTCCCCTGCCCACCACAAAGGAAAAATAATCATTTAATGTTTTATTTTCAATCTAGAGCATTTAAACTTTAAGTATTTAAATTTTCGGAAAGTAAAGACAAGACTTTGGTCTCAACTCAGCCTCTAATTAACTACTTGACTACAGGGAAAGGAAAACCAAGAGTTCCGCACTAAGCAATTCCTGAAGTCCTTCCCGACTCGACAAATCTAGGTTCACAAGGATATTCAACAGAGGCTTCTCATTCACAATGGCAATTACGGATTTAATGTAATTTGTTGATCTCTACTTGTCCTTAATAACTACACAGTCACTCTCAAAAAGAGTCTGGAAGGGCCATTAAATGTTTGTTTCATGTTACTGTACCTTTGGAAGAAATTATGTTATTACAGCATTTCTAAACTTAGGGACCCACGAAGGTCTCAGGCTGTACTTCTTCCAGACATTAAAGGGTTACTCACCAACAGCTACTGCGAAAGCTCACAGGCTCATTATGGTACACACTCCATGCGACACGAGCAAAAATACGTGTGCACAACAGCACCATTACATGTAAAATAGTGAGCCCCTGGAGCTGGAAACACCTGGGTTCAAATCCTGACTCTGCCACTTACTAGCTGTCACTGGACAAGTCTATGGGTCTATTCCCCTTTTTTATAAAAAATGGCGTTGTCTGGGATCTTAAAAGCCTGCGAGCAGCCATCTAAGATACATCTTATTGGTCCCATTCCCCCTGAAGCAAAGCAAAGGAGAATGAAGAAAACCAAAGACACAAGGAAAATACGAGCCCAAAGGACTGAAGGACCAAATGAACCAGAGCCTCCACCAGCCTGAGACCAGAAGACCTAGATGGCGCCCGGCTACCACCAGTGACCGCCCTGACAGGGAACACAACAGAGTCCCGGACAGAGCAAGAGAAAAATGTAGAACAGAATTCAAATTCACGTAAAAAGACCAGACTTAATGGTCTGACAGAGACCGGAGGAACTCCCAAAACTATGGCCCCTGGACGCTCTGTTAACCCAAAACTGAAACCATTCCCAAAGCCCACTTTTCAGACAAAGATTAGACAGGCCTATAAAACAAAAAAAAATACATGTGAGGAACACACTTCTTAAACTTGAGCTGTAAACTTTCACCTAAAGGACAATAAAAAAAATTTTTAAGGGCCTTCACTGGGTTATCACTGTCACTCAACAGAGCCAGTTCCACGATGTAAGGCAGTGAGGAGACTGAGAAACTCCTGAGTACAGCCTCCCGATCCTAAACCTAGAATACCATTTAAAGCTACTACAGGAATGACTCCTAAACCTAGAATACCATTTAAAGCTACTACAGGAATGACTCCTAAACCTAGAATACCATTTAAAGCTACTACAGGAATGACTCCATCAGTTGGGAACTAAACATTTCATGAGGTAGACTTTTCCACTGTGTTAGACAACTCAATTATTTCTTCATTATCTCACCAAACACTTAGCTCCTACTCTGTGCCAGGCTCCGCCTACCAACTGGAAACCTTAGCTATAATCTTAATCTATACAGAACAAGAAAATTATTATTTTTTAATTGAACAACAGAGTTTGTCACAAGAAATCAACAGGCACCTCACTGTCCATATAAAGTGTGGGTAGAATTTAAGATAAGGGGGAGACAGTTTTCTAGGGGAACCAGAGAGGAATAAATCTGGAAGTACCTTCACAATCCTCAAAGCACCTGGGTAATTACCTTATTCACATACAAGCCCCTGGGGCAGAGACACGGGATGTCACAAGATTTACAAGGAAATCTTAGTTAAGGTAGAGAAAAGTAAATGAAAAGCAAAACACAAAAAGATGAAGCAAAACTAGAGCTTAGGGTTAGTGCTGATCTCTATGAACAAAGGCTATCCCGACAAAAATGCCAGAGACTCCCAGTTTCTCTTCCTTGGCCTAGCATCTAGAGGTTTCAGGTATCTGAAGGAGCAAAGAGAAAAGGACAGGTGTTGTATTTCTCTAGACCACAGGAAAGGTCCATGAAAGTTTACTATGACATTTTATTAAAGATACATACAAATTTTTTATAATTTTGGATTAAAACTAGTGATTACTACCCATTAGACCATATTTGCAACATTTTGAAGACAAAAGCTAGCCTGCCTTTTCATGATATTTGGCATGAGTGAAAACTATTTACTTTTCTCATATGTAAAGAGTGCTGTCATACAATGAAAGTGAAAGCATCAATAAAATCTGAACAATAAAATCATAGTCTATCAATGAACGGGTAAGCTCCTAAGGACCTGTATCTTTCCAGACTTCAGAAATCTCATTTTCTAGCAATGAATAAGGGAACTTCTCATCCCCTAAAAGAGGTGACTGACTAAAAGACCTTCCATTTCTTCCAAGGCTGGGTCATCCAGCTTCTACCAGAAAAGTCCTGGCCTCGATCCCTGTCAGGAAAGATGTCTGTCACCATTCTGTAGGTGCAGTTAATGCTCTTTCACTGTCAAAATCCATCATGCCCAGGCATGTCACAAATAGGTCTCCTTTAGTTATATGATCATGCTAGCCTTGAATACAGATCCTACAGGTAGTCCTCAAAAGCTACTGGGATGCCTGTTTGCAAACAGAATGGCATGGCACCTTCAGTGATATGTCAGGCTTCAGATGCTCTTGAATACTCATCCTAATGATGATGAAAGTAACTGACTTGTAAAGGCCAAGCACTTTGTGGCCAATCAGGTAATCCTCTTAACGATGCTACACAGCAGGTACTATCATCCTCACTGTACAAATGAACCAGCTGCAGCTTAGGAAGCTAAGTGGGCCTCCCCCAAGGCCACAAAGCCAACAGGCAGCACGGGTGGGATTAAACACAAAGTTTATACTCTTTCCACTATACCAGGCCACCTGATCCTAGTTGTGCTACTTGAAACAAGGGACTAATGATAATTCATTTACCTAAGACACTGAAAACAAACTTATTTCCAACAGTATGTACATGAGAAAATAAAGGTAAGAGCGGTACCTGGCTTTGTACAAACTAATCAACTCTTCACTTAAAATATCTTTCATTTTTCCTTCCTTCCACGGTTACTTCCCTAGTCCAAGACCCCAGTATCTCCTGCCCATGTCCTGGAACAGCTTCCTAACTGGTTATAATACCTGTCTTTCCATCTCCACCACTTTCCAGAATCTGTTGTCAAAGTAATCCCCTTAAACCACTCTCACTGGCATTCTCAGGAAGCTAAAACAGCTTACTATTGCAGTTTTGTCCAAATTAAAAAACAAAAATATTCCACAATGGCAATTATTTTTTTAATTTAGAAAATACTAAAAAGCATGAAGATGATGGGAATAAATCCATAATTCTGCCACTCAGAAAATAACCATTCTATTTTCAATGCCAACTTTTTTAGATAATTAGATCATATTACCTATACAATTTTATATTCTGCTTAACAGGAAAACATATATTTATATTTTTAAAGCCTCATATGCATTTTTAATTATTATAAATGGAGGTACCACTGGTTACATAACCATGCTTCTGCATATTTAGGTTGCTTACAATTTACTACCGTAACAAATAATCCTATGAAAACACCTTTGCCTAAACATCTTAGAATACATTTCAGATTATTTCTTTGGGATGGATTTCAGGAAGTAGAGTCACTAGATTAAAGAGCTTAAATTGTTTTCAGAATTCCATATAAATCTGCCACATTACTTTTGAGAAACACTTATATGGATTTACATTTCCATTATTAGTAAATTTGAGGATTCTTTATACAGAATTTAATACCACAAAAATGTTTTTAAGCTCCGAAATGTTTCATGTTAAGTTTCAAAATGCAGCAAGTTTTGGGATCCTGAAATGCTTGTCTTCAATGTGTGTAACGTCGGGACTCTCTCCTCCAGCTCTACGCCATTAGAGATACAAACACATACGAGTCGATTCCGACCCACAGCGACTGCCATGTGACAGCGTACAACTGCCCCACAGGAGCTTCTTGGCTGTAACCTTTACAGAAGCGGACTGCCAGGTCTTCCTCCTGCAGCGTGGCTGGGTGGGTTCAAACCGCTAACCTTTCAGCTAGCAGTCAAGTGCTCCTTCACACACATACACAAACACACACACACTAATCCAAGAAAAGCTTTTAAGATACAAAATAAACTAGGAACTGTAATGATCTAAAGCACTGACAATCTACTCCAAACACTAAGGTCTTTCCCAGTATAATGACATTCAATGCATATAAAAATTTTACATCATGTTAGCATCTTATAAAATCTCATTTTTAAAGCCTTGCAAGGACGTAGGGAAATAGTCACAACACTATGCTGTGTGGCAAGAGCAGGGCACAATTCCACATGTATGATATTAACACAATAATATTAAAATAATGCATAAACGTGAGAACAAAGCCATTAAATTCTTAGAAGAATATTCAGGGGCATGGCTGCAGGACCTGTTTTTAATGGTGGATTACCAGAAATGTCAACAAAAAGACAAGTAGCAAAAGTCGAAACAGATAAATCGGACCTCAGAGAAATGAAATAATTATATCAAAGGGCTTTATTAAAAAATGAAAAGCCAACCCACAGATTTTGAGAACATTTTCAGGAACCATATACCCAACAAGGGTCTAGTAGCCAACATAGATTTAAAAATCCTACAACTTACCAACAAAAAGACAAGTAATCCAACCAAAAAACAGGCAAAGGACTTAGTTCAGTTCACCAGAGAGGGTACTCAAGCGGCCATCAAGCACATGAAAAAGCGCGCAACTCCATGAGCTGCTAACTCGTTGCTGTCAAGCCGATTCCGACTCACATGACTCTCGACGACAGAGCAGAACTGCCCCCCAGGGTTTCCAAGGCTGTGATCTTCATGGAAGCAGACTGCCACCTCTTTCTCCCTCAGAGCAGCTGGTGGGTTCAAACCACTGACCTTTTGGTTAGCAGCTGAGCATTTAACTACTGCACTACCAGAGTTCACTAGCCATTAGAGAGACGGAAATCAAAACTACGATGAGATACCATGTCACGAATGTGAGAACGGCAATGAACAAAAAAACAGGGAAAAACCACAGGAGCTGGAGAGGTTCTGGAGAAACTGCAACCTTCATCCACTGCCGGTGGGAACGTGAACCAGTACAGGCACTGTGGAAAACCGTGTGGTGGTGCATCGAAGAGCTGAACACGGAACCATGACATGACCGAGCAATCCTAATCCTAAGTATACACCCAGAAGAACAGAAGTCAGGAATGCAAACAGAAGCCTGTACACCAATGTTCACCGCAGCACTTTTCACAAAGACTAAAAGGTGGAAACAATCGAAATGCCCACCAACAGACGAAGGAATAAAAAAAAGGTCTGGCAGATACACAAAAAGGAATACTAATCGGCAATAAAGAGACACAAAGTCCCGATGCATGCCACAGCATGGATGAAACTTGAAAACCTCATGCTGAGTGAAATACGTCGGTGGGGAAAAGGACAATTACTCAGTTACGTGAAATAAGCAAAATACGCAGAAACCAAAGATTGTTGTGGTTAGCAGAGGCGGGACGGAGGGAAAGAGGGAGGTTTGCTTAGCAGGACACTGAGTCTATGTTAATGGTGGTGGAATGATTTGGAAAAGGACAGCAAGAATGGTTGCACAACTTGAATGTAATCAATGTCACTGCATTGTACATGTACAAATTGTTGAGCTGTATGTTTTATTACATGTATTTTCAACACAATGTATAAAAATACAGGGAATTAGATGAAATATACCAAAATATGAATGGTGGTTACATCTGCATAGCAGACAGTGGATGATTTTTATTTCATTCTA